TACATTGTGACGGTTAGCGTGTATGCTTTTTAACTGAAATGTGAGCTCCAGTGCTTGCAAAAGTTATACACAATACAATACAATACAATACAATTTTCAATCTATGTGGCAAGCTGTTTCCGGGTTGCGACTGCTGTCACATGAAGTTCTGATTGATATTCGTTGCTTTGGGATTTCACAGATCCCCGTCTTATTCTTGCAACCTCCATGTGACATTCCACGAATAATTAATCAACCTAACATTTATTCGTTGTTGTAGTCATTTCTCCTGTAATTTGCATTAACTGTTTCGTTCTAGGTGGGTTTCCGGCATTGAAGTGGTCTTTGATCCGAGGATTTGGAGTTTGTGTACACGGTTTCTTATGTCCGAAAAATTTTTACCTCGTGACCAACCAACAAACCGAATCCAAACCGGACCAGTTCGTACTGCGATGGTCTTATTGTTCTACGGTATAACCACAGGCCCTCCCACATGTTATAACGTGGAATTTGGACAGCTTACGCAATCCCTTATCCTTCCTGACCGGGAACAATTGTTCCATGCATGTACACCGGTACGTTTACGCCATTGATGTGTTTGGGAACTCTGGTGTAACGTAATAACAAACTGTGAATATTCACCTCCAAAAGTTTGGTTTCCTTATTATCGGAATGCTTTTATTGATACTGTATCGGATAAATTTTAAAAACTACAGAACACATTTCCGCCGCCACTTTTCAGTCGATCTTATCGCTTGCACTAATCACAAACCAGGATAGAACAGATGAGGCTCAAAGGTCACATCGTCATGCTTTTTTATCCGATACCCAGTTGTTGTTATTAATGTTGAATGCAGCTGCATGTGCTCAGCCGATCGAGATGACCCGAAATAACTGATTTCACCTTACCTCGCTAAGATGCTTTCCCCTCACAGTGTTACAATTTCTGGACGAGAACTAGTTATATAAAATCAGTCGGCGTTGCAACAACGGCAGTTTTCGACCAGCTGTTTCTCTGTCACACAACTCCCTAATTCCGTTGGTGATGGGATCCTCAAATTTGTATGAAAACAGAACAGTGAATGTGATCAGCTTAAACCGACTTCTCCGATTTGTCTCCGTTTCACCAGTTCCATTTTCGTGTGCGTACATCCACGGATTCCGTGATCGAATCCAATGGGAAAGTTATTACCGTTCAAATGGAAGAGCCATGTTCCGCACAAGATGAGTGTTGGTCAGTTCTTTCGGCTGCCGTTATTCACAGTCTGCCTGCATTCTCTTTGGGCAATCCAAACCCTTCACCGAGTCGAGTATCATACGCACCGCTGACGAGTACATCACAGTTGGATATCCGTGATCCAGTGGTTTTGCCTGATAGAAATTCTACACAAAGGTAATCTAAAAAAATGTGTATTACTGGTATACCTTAAATAGCATATTTACTTCTATTAGAGTCATTCTTAATAATTAATTTACAGATGAAAGTATTCTAATGCTTCACGGTCAATAGTTTCACTTGTTGTGGAAGTGTAATATTATTATATAAGCGTGTTTGGATACACTCGTGCATCCTGAGAGCCAAAACAGTTGATTTTACCAATCTCCCGATTCTTATTATATCCGGATTTATATTCTCGTAAGAAGGTTTTAAGAAACAGCTGACCAGGGACCGAGTCATCCAGATCGGTTCAACGCACTCGACTGGCGGCGGTGGCCCGGTGGTTAAGGTCACCAAATTATCATCCCGAAGGACGTGTTTGAATCCCACCACCACCGCCGCCTGACTTTCCCCGTTATGTGTTGCATGGCAGCGCTTTGATTACCTGCTTCCCACCTTTCTGAAAATTGTATCACTGTATGTTCACTTAAAGGAAGTAAAAATGAGAAAGAAAAGTATTTTTTTCGTCTCCCTTTCTCCCTGCCTGTAGTAGCTCCCTGGCTTCGGATTTCAACATCCCCGAAGTTTCTCTGCTTTTGGAAGAGGGTGTGGCTACCTCGGCTCCTGACTGCGTGTTAGCCGAGTNCTCGGTCTTGTGGTGCTGCTAGCGCTGTCAGTCCACATGATGCAGACTCCATCCCAAGAAGCCCGCCTCAGTTGTCTTCCGTTCTACCGAGAAACTCGCATTCACCACAACAACAACAATGTTCATACGATCCACGTCGTTATCAGCCGATCAACCCGAACGAATCTAAAAAGCAGGTACAGTCTACACCGATTGTCGACCCGACGGGTGCGAAGTCCCCAACCACGTCAGGTCAGACTTGTCCCACTTCTCTGCAATCATTGTTGGCTAAACTGCCTGCCGCACAGCTCAGACGTTTGGAAGAGATTATTAACGCGTTGTTGGCGAAAAGCGAAGAATCGACAGACGAGACACCATTTGGAGCACCGGGTTCGACATCTCGTCAAGGTTCTGGATCTGAGCGGTCGACATACATGTCAACCTCAGTGGACGTGGGCGTGAACACGACTGCAATATTGCACACCAGTTCCACTCACGAATCATTCTCCCGTTCACCGAGTTCTCATCGGATTCAGTTCCCACATTCTAACGAGAAGAACTCCACAAAATTCGGTAAGTTAGTTCTTTTCTGTCGTAGTGACATTGTTCTCTAAACCAGATCGTGGTTATTGACCTCATAGTCTCTTATCCCAATCACTTCACCAGTGTTCATCCAGCCGCGTCGAATACTGTAACTTTTAGACTGTACTTTGAAGTGGTGTAATGGCCTGTGCACTTCGGTGACCCAAAGAGCTATACAAAATCGCTTTTGGTAAGACGAAGATCTAATCATGTCTGGAAGGTCGAAGAGTAGAGGTCCGACAAATTTCAATCCCCTGGTCCTCCAGACTCAAGGTTCGACCCGAGTTGGCGTCTCAGTCGGTAAAAATAGTGGAGGAGTAATCTATCCAAGTAGATTAGCCTCCACTTCACTTTGCTCGATACCTCGCGGTTAGGTTCTTGTCACAACTAAAGCCTTCGGATGAGAAACCTAATCGCTTTGTTGCTTAGTGGTGGGACGCTCTAGTAATCCTTGTCCATAAAACTACAATAAACTCAAAATAATTGCATACTGTATCGGTTGTCGCGCATACCCGCGATGCCCATTGCATCCAGTGGGGTGGGTAGTCATGAGTAGGATATTACTCAGACATCCCAACCTTTGTTTCATTATTTGTCTTACATACCCAAACATCTCTCTTTGCTCGTCCTTCCGACCTCTAACATTCTATCGGACAAAATGTCAGTTACTCGTCAGAACTCTTTGCCAAATGACGTTGTGATTACTTTACCGCCGAATAAATTGCGGATTCTGAAGTCAATCAATGAATCTAGGGATCTTCAACGCGAGAACTATCATTCAGGTGGGTCAACAAGCTTGTCTAACTCATACCGACTGACTATTGAGGAATTGACGTCTGCTGCGTATCGGAGACGTGAATCCAGGATCTTAGTACTATAAGCCACCCGCTTGCACTGGATCTGTCCCTGAGGTACTTCCTGTGCATATCAGGTGACGTGTAGTCCTGCTCATTTGGCCAGCGTAAATTACTAAACGGCAAAACTGAGGCCTCGTCGATTGACAAGGCAGCCATTGACAGTCGTTTTCAGCAATGAGACTCCAAGGTCCAGGTCAAAGGGAAAAGAACACCAAAGATTTGTTCATAATTTCGCGGTATGCACCAACCAATTGCAGTTTCAGTTTACAAAAGGATGAATTCTACGTTGACCTCACCGGAATCATTCGGTTGAACCGCAGCTTTGATATTATAATACTAGCAGGTGATTTTAACGTGCAGCTTCGCTAGTTCTCTCTGTTGGTTCCTTTTTATTTTCCCACTCGCCTATCGCATCGCGCGCGAAGTCGGTATTTTATTCCGTGCCAGGCGCTTCTACACACCCAAGCACCTTTTATGCAAAGCTCAAATCTGCCCGATACTCGAATACTGCTGTCACGTGTGGTGTGATGTGGAGCTTCGGAATGCGCTCTTTATCTCGTCGGCCGTGTTCAACTTGAGACCATCCAGCTGATCGACGAACCGCCTTAGATTTCCAAACTGCAGTCGCTTTCCCATCGCCGGACATTTACTTCGTTATCCTTTTTCCATCGTTACTATTTTGGTTTCTACTCTTCCGAACTGGTTCCAGATGTTCCTTCCCCTTATCATTTCCTTGTTCTTAGGCGGGCAGTCACCTTTATCGGGTGTTGAAATTCTATCTCCCAGTCTTCTTTTCCCTCAAGAACTGCGAAACACTCTTTATCCCTGTATTCCAAACAATTTAAACTTTACTCTTCAAAAGCAGGATTAATCTGAATGCCCCCCTCAAATTATGACATTGACTATGGAGTGTGCCCCTTTGTTGTAAATCAATTTGTGTTTAGCAAAGAGAGGTTAGAAAACAGCGCATTCGAAAGCGGTGTATGGGGTCGTTTTGCTCTACTCCCCCAGCGAGCGGATTGCTTCAGTTCTGCGCGCATGATCGTTTGCTCTTATCTAGCACTTGCGATACAACCCTCAACGGACGCCAACATGGTGTCTAGTTGCCCCAAAGTGACCATATAGCTGTAGGCTACCGTTAGCGCGGCTCAGTACGAAATAACGTATTCTATTTGACCACTTGCGTTGAGTCTGATCACTCATTAATCCTGGTGCTCTTCAGTCTTCGACGCATCGGTCATCGGCAAAAATAGCCGCTTCAGCTAGCTCATCATCGTCCGCGCGACCCAGCTGTTCGCACTCGTTATGACGACAGCTGCTTGGTACACCACGACATGGTGGGGTAGATCAGAAGTGGGATCGAATTCGGTTGGGGTTCAACCGACTAACTAGTTGGTTGGAGACACTGACGGATATGGCAGCGAACCGACAGTAGTGGTGTTCTGGTTGTCATTTATTATCCAACCATAATGCCTGAAATGGTGTGTGCGTGCACAGTTTGGTTGTGTGCTCTGTATTAACCATAGCGATTCACTTTTTTCCTCCTCCCGCCAAATTGCTGTCCAGATTACACATTCTCATTAACTTTGCGAATTAAGCAAGAACAAGTGAAGTTCGCTGTACTATGATACATCGTGTACAACATACTGGGGCAAGTAGTGGACCTCCATAGATTACGGTGGTTGGTACATATGTTACGCATGTCACCAGATAGGTTGCCACGGCGAGCGACGTTTACCGAGGCAGGTAGCGGTTGAAGAAAGATCGAGGGTGGTCAAACGAGGACCTGGCATGAGAGTACGAAAACCTTAACCAGGAGATTGGACCACATAGGTCCCGTTAGGCTCCCTCTCTGGGAACCCCGAGATCATGGTCACCGATGGTTAGACACTGAGTGATATGGCTGGGTGTCGCAAGCAGTGGCGCTTATGCATCTGTTCATTATTCTTGTAACATCAGTCTAGCGTTATCTCCCGCTTGAATTAGCTCTCAACATTCTAATCTTCATTCTGCTCTTTTATCTCAATGGGAAACCAAAACCGGAGCACGAAAGTGCATGGTTAATGGTTGTAGAAACTGAACTGAATGTGTACAATATAGCCATTAATGCCGGAACACCATACAATATCTGACCGTGGTTGCGCTGCTCACACGAATGTATAGATTGAAGATAAACAGATTGTGCGCGTGGGTTTCTGAACCAGATCGAAATTTAAGTAAATAAACCGAATTAACTTTTCGGTATGTATGTCATTTGAAGTAACACCCCTATGTGCTGACTTCTGTGAAAGTATTCGATCCTGGAAGCCGGTAGCCAGAGCCACAGAAATAAATCTCGGATAGTCCTGTGCAATAGGTGTGGCTTCACGGATTGGATTGGTCTCATTTAGTGTTCACATGATTAATCAAAACTTTGATGTTTCTTTCCATCTCATGTACGGCGGTAATTGAAAAAGTGTTCCTCTTGTCTAGGTTTTTTAAAACAGGCTTGGACAATCCCAACTCTTTTCTGTATAAAGTGGTCCACAATCGATGTTTGCTCCAGTGTACCAGAAAGCGGTTCCTCTTGACCACCAACCACTGGGATGTGATTTGTCGATTGTGGATTTCTCATCTTATTTCCCATGATTTTTTTCACTGGTATGCAATGTTTGTCCTGTTGCAGTTGAAGAATCGGACACTGATTACGGGCTGTCGTCAAGTTTGGGAATGGAAACTGATGACCCCGGACCGTTCGGTTCGGACGTGTCCAAATCCGGTTCGGTCAGACAGCCAAATACAAACACCCTTCGCATTCGGGATGACCAAAAGGTGGAATCAAATAGCGTATCTTCCCATCCTGAAGCTTTATTATCCCCCGGATTCTCTGGACACGAGACGGAGAATGTAAGTCTAAAACTGTTTTTATTGGATCATGAACTGGATCGCGAACTTTTGTTTTAGAGATTTTTAGCTCATATCAGTGACGGTGGACCGGTAACCAGTGATGGCGTCGTGGTTTAGTTACTGTCATCGGCGTGTTTTGGACTCTGTGACCCGAGTCCTGCCACCGCTACCCAACATCGGTGGTGGACAGCTTTGCTGTCGCCCGGTTCTATACCACGCCTAACCTAGCGGGCCTTATATGGTTCGCCACTCAAATTCCTGGGGGCTTAGGTTACCAGCACTGAACAGCAGGTTTCCGTAATCATGGGGTTCCACTCCGTCTGCAGTCCATCACACGCCAGTGTGTAATAAAAAAGGAAAGCGGTTAAAATCGGTGTGAGAATGACCGTAACATTTTCCGTCGGGGTCATGGTGAAGTGAGCTGCCAGTGACAACTGACACCAGCGAACATAGTCAAGCCGAGTTAAGAGGAACAATTATGAGCATTTTATTGACAGCGATTCGACTGGATCCGAATGGTTGTTACAACTTCGGTGAATCTGGACACTGAGCTACTGATGTTGTTGACTCAGAACATTAGCGTCGCAAGATTTACTTATGTGATGCAAGCAATGTGGTAAACTCTGAACCGCATATCGTAATAACTCGGCTGCAATCAACAAATGCCCCTCCCCTTCTGCGATAACTAATCCTCACACTCAGGATTTACAGGTTGAACAACGGAGAAGACAGGTTTTACCGGATCTTCGGATCAATTCACGATTTAGACACTCGTTTACCTATCAAAACTACATCATTTCATTGAATCCCAAACCATCCGATTTTTGCTTTTCGATCAAAGTCAGTAAAGATCGACTGTCGAATCAGCATACATATTTGTTTGTTTTTATTATTTTCTGAATAGAACCAAGTGGCTATTTCGCATCGAAGCTCTGTTTGTTCTTCATCGCTCTCTCTTTGTTCTGTTTCAATCTTATGCGAAACAGGATCACGGCACAGTCCGACCGGACACTGCCACCACGATTCCGGCTAGCGCGAATGAAGACCGATTTAGCAACTTATTGGTAAGTCTTCGCGCGCATGCTTTGCCCTACCACCATGGTGGTTGTTGCATCATTCGATAAAGGGAGAGTGGTACGAGGTGTGTGTGTGCGTGAACCACGGCAACGGACAGAATAGATTCCACCCATTTTGTTCTGCAAGTCCGTTAACTGTTTTATTCTGTTGCAAATGGATTTCAGGTTTTGATCCAAAAGAAACATTCTTCAAACTTCAATTTTCACAAAATACAGGATTGTACGTGAAGACGAAATCCGAAGGCTTTTCAGTGCGAGGCAATTAAATCTATCTCACAGCATAAGCAAGTATGATCTCAGATTGCCGATTCTAAACGCACGAGCGTCCACATTTGCAAATTACTCGCGTATATTCCATGATTCGCAGTTTTTCGTTGAATCTTAACGCTCCGTAAACACCACCTTTTCGGGCTGTGTTCTTCCTTCTGACCTACATGGCGGTGCTTCTTTTCGCTAGTTAATGTTGCCAAAAAACTGATAGACTTGTTCGTTGTATTCAGTGTGACTAATTGCATTTGTTTTTGGATAATCTGTGGTCACCGATTAACTCTTTGTCCCGCCGTTTTGAGGTCGAAACTCGCATCCGTTACCGTTTTAAGTTACTGTTTTTCCAAACGCTCTCACCCAGGCTGGAATACAAGGAATACTCAATCGACAGAACAAAGTGCAGCAGCGTTCAACTACTAACCAAAGCAATACACCACGGCCGCTCGAATCGACACGATCTCCCGCGGAACGAAGTCGGTCTGAAAACTCAATGCGTTCGGTAAACGATGCACCGAACGGGCAACGCCTAACACCGACGATAGACCAACTTGAACGTGGTCAACCAGGACGTCTAACTCCAGCCAGTCATGAACGCGTGACAAGTTGGTTGTCGGGTGAACAGTATTCCCATAGTCCTCAATCGGGACAAATTAAAGAACAGTCTCGATCGGATGGAGACGTTGGATCGTTACTCAACGATCACAGTTTTCTCGTCCCCGAGGTTCCACGACGACAAGGGTAACATCTCTTTCTCCGCATGTATTACTGATCCCATACTGTCATTATTTGAATAGCGTTTGCTTGGCCACATCCGAATTGCATGTAACATGTACACTTTTTGTTTATCTCCAGCATCTTAATGTGCTCATTCTTATATAGGAAGTTACTTGCGTACCGCGTTTTTCCAGGAATTAGGTGCACAACAGTTTAGATGCTGTTGCATGACTCAGAAAACTATTCCTCTCTCTCTCTCTCTCGCTTCCTGTCTTGCGTTCTGTAGGACAAGTGCAAGGAGCTATACACCGACTCCGAGCTTGATCAGTGCCAATTTGTGTCAGTACCAATCATTGCAACTGGATTCAACCACCGAGTCTGTGGATCGCACACAACCGTCAACCGACACAGATCAAAGTGTGTTCTTGGCCAAGCTGGTCGAAAAGTATCTGGGCACAAAAGCACATCTGAAGGCAAACAAGTTCAGTTCCCCCGGGCGGAGACAAGCCACGGATGTTAGCTGTTACGGTGGCCTAAACCCCAATGACATGAGTATAGCCACGCAAAACTATCTGGAACGGCACAACATGCTGGATACGACCGGTCGCGAACACAAACCGGGTCGGGTGCGCTCGACAATTCCGACCAGTACACCAGCCTGTGGTCTGTCGTTCGCATCGTCACAGGGATTGTTTCACATCCAGCCGTTCAAACGTGTACCCTCGTCGCGAGACACAGAGAACAAAGATCCCGGTCATTCCATACAGTCGGATAGTACAATGCCCAATGTGTTAGACGGTTTGCAGCTGGACAGATCCCCACTAGGTGACACAATAGCCAACCACGATCCGGATGTGAAGCTGTTACTCCCACCACTGACAGAGCTGTCATCGTTGTTCTCTTTCACTAGCACAGAAAGTAGCGCATTACCCGAGGCCGGGAATTCCCCGTGTGTGGCTCGGACGACCAGCAGAGACNGGTCTAATTTTGGATATTGAGCGACTCCGGTCGTTACCAAAGCTTCTGTGATCAGTTTCCTGTGAGAAAAAAACTGACATTTTGTGATAATCGCTTATTGATGACACCCGCCTCTTAAAACACTTGAAAATGTCGAAACTGTACAGCGAATAACGTGTTCTAGACAAACAGTTTAGTTACATCTGAATAGAAAATAATAAAACGCATACAGTACAAAATGAACAAATGCATTGCATTTTCATCGGGTTACACCACAATACGACAATTGTCCACAGTTAGTACAGATCATCCTCGTTTGTTGCTGAACCCGCCTCCTGGTTTTTGATTTGTTCCTGACTCTTGTAGAACTCGTACACCTGGAAAACAGATCAGTCCGTTTTGGACACGGATGATTGGGTTGCTTACCTGTTGCGCTGAAGTAGCATCTTCCGGCTTTTTGTCGTCACGAATGCGTAAAAATCGAGGGAAACGAAGTGAAATTCCCTTTTCAGGGTCCGCCTGGAAGGAAAAGGAAAATTGTCACCTGTTCACATATGAGATTCGATTCTGAAGGAGAGTGGGTTGCTAGCGTCCTTTTTCACGCAATACACAAAACATTTTCGTAATGTTAATAACTACCACTGGTTACGATTAAAGTCTAAATACGAAATACCCAATGCTCAAATGGAATTAAACAATCCTAACCGGGTTGTGTGTAACTGAAGCAAGCTCGGACAATGTGATGGACATTCCTAAAAACTCCCGGAAGAACGTTTTCGAAAGACGACTATTCACGAAATGGCAGTCCTAAATACGACCCCGGGCGAATATGAGCACGGTCTCCCACGATCGAATTGCTAACGTCTAATCAGGCTAATTTTATGGGTACGGCCGATCAATCCTAGCAACAGTGAAGTTGGTGAGCAAGTTCTAGATTACCGGACCAAGTAAATACCTAAGACAATTCCTCGGAAAAGGGTTTCCGATAATTAAAGAGGAAAGTCAAAGCAACACACACGAGATAGACTAGTGATGCAACAGATCAATTCCAACTGCATTGGAACGTACAGGGCGATCAGAACGAAAAAGTGACTACTCAAGTCTGTAGATCTAAGAATCAAGCGCGGTAAAGTATATCAGGAGAAAATATCATTTAGAAAAGAATTTAGCATAAAAATTGTTTCCTATAATTCATGATCATGCCGAAAAACCTAAGGACTGAGATGATATCATTAAAATCTGAGGAATCGATCACTATATGTTTGTTTGTGTTGCATATCACACTCTTAGTTTTGTGCTTCAGAGATTTTCAATTATGTCACGTTTTCGTGCAACCCATTTCTGGGGATCGGTGTTAGTGTACTACAACGTGGACAGGATGAAGGCGTGGATTCGTGGAACCAGGGGTGATGGGAGCTTGGACTAGACGTTTCTGGGCACACTGTTCGGGAGTCAAGTGTTTGATACGGATAGCCTCGACCATGGCCAACGTACACATTCCACCCCATAACTTATAGAGTTCGACAATTTCGCAATGTAGGGTCTCCGATCCCGTGCAGAGGTTCCCGTGGCAACGTAAGGGACGCTACCGAAGTGTGTAATGCTGCCCAACGAGTTAGGGTCCACATGGCGAGGGACATCCTGGCGGAGCTCTTCGGTCGGTCTTACCACGTGGCCAGGACGCTCATAAACGGGGTTTTGAACGAGGCACACAAGACCAGGAACGGAGTAGACCTCTTAGCCATGCTGGTTATGAAAATGAGGAATTGCTTTATCATCCTGAGGCAAATAAGTTACGAGGCAGCCCTGAACGCCTTACACATGTTAGAATCAATAGTCCGATGCTTGTCAACAGACATTTAATAGCGGTG